TTTTTTTTTTTTTTGGTACCGGGGATTGAACTTGGGACCTTGCACTTGCAAGGCAGGCAGAACCACTGAGCTAAATCCTCACCCCTAATTTTTTATGGTAGAGACAAAATCCAAAATATATGTTAAGATTATAAGGCTGGGGGTTTAGCTCAGTGGTTCCGGCGCCTGTCTTGCAAGCACAAGGACCCGAGTTCGATCCCTGGTACCAAAAAAAAAAAGAGAGATTATAAGACTTTGTCTTGATTTTTCAAAAAGTCAAACATGGAAATAATTTCACTGGTTAATATTTGACATGAATAAAAAGCATTCCATATTCATTCAGAATATATTCTAGTAAAGATTCAATTTCTAGGATGTTTTACTCATTAAAAAAAAATAACTTACTGCAGCATTAAGTCTGTGATAGTAACATTTTGACTCTCAAATTCTACTGTGTAATTTTCATATGACAAAGGAGGTTCTTCAATTTCCAGAGATGGGAAACTAAGAGATTAAGATTGATTTGAAATTCACACCCTACTTTTGATACTCAAGATGACCATTTCCAGGGGACTCCTTGTCTAACATCATCTATAGATTGCCAAGACTAAACCAGAATGCTACAAATGCTTTTAGAAATTTACCACTACCCACCTTAGGAAGGGTTCACAACTACATAAGGGGTAAAACAATACTCTTTTAGTTTTTAATCTTTCTTTTTTTACTCCTCCTTCCAAAAAATGAGCAATTTCAAAAACATACAATTCAAGTGTACATTTTTAATCTTAACCTTTTTGCCAAGCATGGTGGCACACACCTGTAATCTTACCACCAGAGAGGCTGAGGCAAGAGGATCACCGCAAATTCAAGGCCAGCCTAACTCCATAGTGCATTCTAGGCCAGTCTGAACTGCATAGAAAGACATTATATCAAAAAACAAAAAAAATTTGTATTTGGATGTTTCCTAACTTTCAGATGTGAGACTCTGCCTAATCCATTATTTCATTCTGAAAACAAATCATTTTTATTTTTCTAGTAGATGTACCTTTTTCTAAAAGAAGAAAAACAGCTTTGATTGTTACTACAAAAATGACAACTTCAAACAGCTCCATTTCCCAATTTTCACCATGGTTTGTCTGATCATTCTGGAGAAATGAAATAAAATTGTATTCAAATTTTTAAGTGTAGGGGCGCCGATTTAGCTCAATGGTTCTGCTGCCTGCCTCACAAGCGCAAGGACCCAAGTTTGATCCCCAGTACCAAAAAAACCCCACAAATTTTTAAGTGTTCTGCTTCCAGACCAAAGGTAAAGCACAAATACCTCAAGTATGTATGTAGACCCCACACTCCCTCTGGTGGTCCTGTGCTCTCATTAACCAAATGTTTTCCGAAGAACTGGAAGTAAACACCATATTAAGCATGAACTACAAATCAATTCTCATAACAAACTATAAGAGAAACAAAATATTTTAAGTACTGAAATATTCTAAATATTGCTAAAATACCCTTAGTAATCTATTAGCTAAACTGTTAATACAAATGTCCTTACATTAAATTATTCCAATCTGGCTAGGAATGGAGCACAGTGGTACATGTGAGGCCATGCGAGGCCTCATGTGAGCACATGTGAAGCACATGTGAGGCCATGGCTTCAATCCACAGAACCACTAAAAAAAACCCTCTTGGGCTGGGGATTTAGCTAAGTGGTTTCACTGCCTGCTGCGCAAGTGCAAGGACGGGGTTTGGTTTTCCGTTCCCAACCAACCAATTAACCAACCAACCAAAAAAAACCCTCTCTTATTTGCAGAACTCCTTTACACAGTAAACAAACATCTTATTTACAAGTTAAATCATGGTGTTACTGTTTTAAAATAATAGTTATGCAATGTACATGCCCTTGCTCATGTAGTCTCACACATGCAGATTTAATTTCTTTATACTTTGGGAGGACGTGTCAGAATTTTAAAATGCACGAGGACTAGGGGTGCAGCTCAGTGGTCATGCACTTGCCTAGCTTGCCTGAGACCCTGGATTAGACCTCCAGCACTGCAGAAAAGAATGATAATAAAAGAAAAAAGGGGTGGGCCTGGGGCTGGAACTCAACGGCAGAGTGCACAAGCCCCAGGATTCAGTCTCTGCACCACAAAAGCAAAACGAAAACAAGAAACACCAAGATGCACTGTAGAAAAATTTAAAAGCATAAAATAATGAACAAAATCTAATTACTAAGTTCAAACAGTTTAAAAATTATAAAATGTAGGTAATTGTTCACCATAAATTAATTACAGAATTTGTGCCAAGATATGTACAATACAGGTTCTTATTTAGGACACTGTGAAAAATTATATGAAAGATATTCCTAATGCCAGATACAAATGCATATGACTTTTGGGTTTTGTTTTGGTTTTTGGTTTTGGTTTTTTTTGGTACCAGGGATCGAACTCGGGGCGGGACCTTGCACTTTCCAGACAGGTGGCAGAACCACTGAGCTAAATCCCTGGCCCACATATGACTTTTAAATAAAGCAATACTAACATTTATAACAACATCATTTGATCAATCCTTGAATCCAGCTGTTTTAACACAAGGCCTTGTTTTTGGTAATTTTATTCACTTAAAAATATTTACTTGCTATGTTGTTTGTTTTGGTACCAGGGATTTAACTCAGGACCTTGTCCTTGCAAGGCAGGCGCAGTGCCACTGAGCTAAATCCCAGGCCCTACTTGCTATATTTTCACCACTACTGCAGAAACCAATCTTTTAAAATGAGACCAAAATGTTCCTCCTGGCTGGCTCATCCATAGAAAAAAAAATGCAAGTATAGCTCAGCAGTAAAGCACTTGCCTAGCATGCACGAGGCCCTGGGTTCAATCCACAAATTGGAAAAAGAAAGAAGATAGAAAGAAAATCAAATGTACTACCACCAGGAGCCCTCAAACTCAAAAAGAGCCACACTTTAGGGGAACTGCCTTAAAACAGTCCCAATTTTAACTGTGTAGATGTGAGAATCAACATATGCTTAATTTTGAAACTGAAATGTGGTTGATAATTTTATGATAGTCTACCACAACTGGACAAAAATATGTAATTAAAATATCTAAAAACTGAATTTTAGGATGAGCTTTTAATTAAAAAGCACTCTTCTACTTTAAATATTTTAAATGTTGCTGGGTGTAGTGGTGCATGCCTGTATTCCCAGCACTTGGGAGGCTGAGGCAGGAGAATCGCCGCAAGTTTGAGGCCAGCTGGGCTAAACAGTGAGTTCAAGACCAGCCTGAACTACATAGAGACCTTGTCTCAAAAAATGAAAAACAAAAACAACACACACACGAATACATATATATGTAAATTTAAAATGCTTTTGTGTAAATAAATCTGACCATAATTTATGATATGTGGTATATTTAAGCATCATCATAGGATAAGGATTATAAACTCTCTAATTGTGAGTAATAGTATTTAAACTAATACAACCCTGTACACCAAAAGGAAACTAAGTCCACCAAAACAATAAAAGCCTCAGTCCTATAAGGTCACTGGCAAGCAACTACCTACATAGAAAAAGCCCATTTATACAGTCATTGTTCAACTAATCTTTCATTAAAAAGCCAACTCAGCTGGGCATGGCTGAACATGCCTGTAATCCCAGCACTCAGGAGGCTGAGGCAGGAGGATCGCTGCAAGTTCAAGGCCAGCATGAACTAAATAGGGAGACCCAGCCTCAAAAAAAAAAAAAAAAGCCAACCCAGCTTTTGAGAGCAGTAACTTTTTATACAGGTATAACCAAAAGGAGGGCCAGGGATTTAGCTCAGTGGTTTCACCACCTGGTGCGCAAGCACAAGGACCTAAGTTCGATCCCTAGTACAAAAGAAAAACCCCCCCAAAACCCAAAAGGATATACTTTCCTCTCTAGACTAATTCACCCTAAGCTGAGAAGCCTTTAGGAAATTAAAAAATCCAAAATATGCACTCTTTCAATGCAAGAATAAACAGAAATTTGAAGATTTAATTAATTGCCTAATCCATTATTCTGTTTTTCATTCTGAATTGATTAAAATTATGTTCTAAAAAGGAAAGTCACCCAAAATTCTCATAACAAAAAAAAATTAAAAATCCGGGGACATACTTGCTTTGTTAAATATTGGAATGACAGACCTTATAAAATATAAGCTTGTTGTTTTAGAGAAATAAAATAATTAACAAACACCATCTTAGTTTTTGAAAATCTCAAATAGTCACAACTATTAGCTAACTCTAAACAGCTAGATAAATAAGTAAAATCATCGCTCAATTAAATATTAATAAATTAACATAATTAAATCAAAATTAACTTTGTTCTTAAGAAGTTAAGCTAACGTCTCAAAGTATAAATCATACCCAATGAGGCTATCAAACAAGATACATTAGAAGAGAAAAGCTGAGTAAACTAAATCAAGTATTTCCCACAAATGATAATCCCCCTTTAAAACATTTTTTAAAATTACACTATTCCTGTAGGACCCCTAAATTGGTCAGGGCCATAAATGAAGGTTGTTCGTCAAATATCCGCTGGGAGGGAACAAAGAGAAAAATGTTAAGTGAAAGTATGACAAAATAATACTTTCCCACCAGAATAATTTTTTTTCAAATCAATCCTTGAATTGTGACACAGACACCAAGAGAAGAAGCTATTATAATTCTCTAAAATAACCCTAATACAGGGAGAGAGACAGAAGTCCCCCAGACTATTAAAAATCCTAAACCACAGCACGCCTTAACTTTCCCCTTGTCTACAATCTAAGAAAATGCAAAGACAATGAAAATAAAGACTCCTGCCTACCCTCAGAGAGACACAGAAAGCTCTCATTCAATGCTGAGCCTTATTCCACTGGAAAACACTCATGAGAAGTAAATCCAAAACCACGAGCTCATACTGCTTCGTGCAGAATTTACTGAATGGCGGCCAACCTCTGTACACACTGTCCTGACCCATACCGAAGGGATAGCGAGAGTTCTGCATTCTCCACTTACAACTTGTTCCTTGCTGTGCTTTCGCCACCACTGATTATTAAAAACGAGACCAAAATGTTCCCCCTGGCTGGCTCGTGCATAGGAAAAAAAAAAAAAAAAAGGCAACCTTCACCCTGATCCTCACTTTTTTCTTTTTCGCAATACTGGTGTTTGCAAAGTAGCACACCTTTTTAGACCATCCACGGGGAGGGACCAGTTTGAATGTCCCAGGGCCGCAGTGAATAAGGGCCCCGAAACAACTTTTAACTGGCTCAGCTAGGGCACCAGCACGGCACCGACCACCTGTTGGAGTGGCGCCGCGTTCACAGCCCCAACAAGAACGATCGGTCCGCAGCACAGTCCCGGGCGGCAGGTGAAGCGGGAACGCCCATCCACGCCCAGCGGCGGCCCCGGAGGCGGCCGGTGGCCGCGGGGCGCTCCGTTATCCTCGCCCTCCCGCACCGCCAGGTGAGCGCGCGCCATCGCCCCGGGGTCCGGCGCTGGGCTCCCCGGGCTCGAGCCCCGCGGCCGCCTGGGTCCCGGAAAGCGAAGTTTCGCTCCCGCCTGGGCGGGGCTCCGCAGACGCCGCCCGGCTCCCTCCGAGGGTCCCGCCGCCTGCGGAGGCCGCCGAGCGGGGTCGGAGCGGAACCTGTCACCAGGGCGGGAAACAAAAGCCGAGAGAGAAGAGCGGGCGCGACCGGCCTCGCCTCGTGAGGCGGCGAGCGGCGGCCCGCGGACTCCGCACCGGCGCCAGGCCTACCGCGCGCGTCACCTCGGGGCCGCTCCCGGGCTTGGGGGGCCGCGTGAGCGTGCAGGGAGGCGGCGGGACCGCGAAGGAGGGAATTTGGGGTGCCATGGCCGCTCTCCCCATCCCCGCGACCATGGCGCCGATACCTGTCGCCGCGGTGGCTCGCTGGCTGACTCGCTCCGCCTCGCCCGCGCGCGGGGTTCTCTCCTCAGCCCGCCCTGCAGGCCTCCCGCGCGCCGGACAACGCCGCCCGAGACTGGCAGCGTCCGCGAGCCGGCCCGAATCCCCCGGGCAGCGCCTGGTCCCGTCCCGCCCCCGCCGGCCGCAGGACCCGGCTTCCATAGGGCCCTGGGGCTGTCAGTCCGCCCCCAAAAGGCGCGCGGGCTGCCGCTCCGCCTGTCTGGATTGGTGGCCGCGGGCCGTCCATGCAAATGAGGCCCCGCCCCTGGTTCATTTGCATCTCCGCCTCTCCATATCAGCCCACGTGTCTGGCCCTTGCCCTTTGTGGGGGCCCTGGAGAAAGGATGGAGGGAGCTGACCAACGCCCCCTCTCAACATCCCTCACCTCCAGAAAAGCAAAAGTCTTCGTAAGCTAGTTGAGACTAGTTCATTGTCTCCACAAACGCTCTGCCCTTGCCTTGCTGACCACCAGGCCTGTCTTCTCCAGCCTCAGGGCAGGCCAGGCTGGCTCGATGAAGCCACTCCTGGAGGTCAATTTGCTCTGTGGCCGGGGAAATCCCACCTCTAGAAGCAGGTGGGCACTTAGCACCTTCTTTTGGACGCCCAGCTGCGGTGACGACTATGCTTGTGCTTAGCTCTACCTTTCAAACTTGAGATCTCAGGCACTTAGGACAGGAAGGTGCCTTAAAAATGGCTGTCTTCTTTTCTGGCGCAACTCCAAAGAGTAGGCAGCTGAGCAGCCTCAACTTCAAGACATGACTCCCTGCCCACCAGCTGGCCACTCAGGAGCCACCTGAGCCTAAGGAAGTTCAAGCTCCACGCTGTCATGTTTGAGGAGACAAACCTAGAGTCTTCTAGCTACTAGTCACCTGTGGGACATATAAGTTACCTCTGGAAACCTAAACTCTTTGAGTTGGATTAGAACTCATGTCTCCCGGCTCCACATTTGCTCTTTTTTGCACTCTGTCACATTGAAGTATTTATGAAGACCCTCTTGTACAAGTCATCGTGCTGGGTGGTGTTCAGTCATTCATTCCCTGCCTGCAAGAGGTGGTGTCTGAGGGGGATGTGTAACCCCAACACTTGGGGAGACTGAGGCAGGAGAGATCAAGACCAGCCCTTGGGCTGGGGATTTAGCTCAGTGGTTCCAGCGCCTGCCTCTAAAGCACAAGGTCCCGAGTTTAATCCCTGGTACCAAAAAAAAAAAAAAAAAAAGACCAGCCCAAGCTACATAGTGAGACCCTGTCTCAAACAAAGGTGGTGGCTGCAGAAAAGTCAAGTAGGCCAATGCTGAACCCTTGTTTGTGGGCAAGGACCCTGTCTGTCATTTGTCTGTCTTCAATGACACTAGAAACCTCCCCTCTACCAGGTTCCAGGGAGAATCACCGATACAAATTATTTGTGCATTATTTTCATAACACAGTGGTGGTCAGAACTATACTAACACCAGTTGGTGCAGCATCTGGGATGCTTACCAAATGCAAGTATTAAGCACTAAGCTGTGCAGGTGAGCAGACATTATCCTGGTCCTCAAGGGCTTCAGCCTGGGGTCCAGAGACATCCACCTCGAATTTCAGTGCTCCTGAGTTCCAGGGGTGTGACAGATATCTGCAAGGGCCACAGTGGAGGCCCTTGGAGGGAGGAATGGGCTTCCTAAAGAGGTGAGAGAGGCAGAACCCATCTTAAAGATGGAGGGTTTGCCAGAAGGAGGGGCGTGGATGAGGAAGAACAGGGACTCCCAGCAGGGTGGGGGTGGAGAGACGACATCATGAGAAAAAACACTCAGAGCTGGAAAAGTCTAATTATTGAGGGAACGGGGAGCAGGAGAGTGGGCAAATCTGCAGGGCTGTGTGGATGTGTCACGTGCTCCAGGACTGGGCTTTTCCAGGAGGAAGACAGAAAAGCCCGGGAGGCTGCCAGGCTGTGTTGTAACACTAGCAAACAACAGGCCCGTACGTACAGCTGCAAGGCCTTTTTTTTTGTCTAGGTCAGAGTCTGCAGGGACAGTCAGTTCCACCGTTCTGATGGCAGCCCTGGCAGCCCCCCACCCCAGGAAACCAACTCTGGCCACACCTTTGCACTCCTGGGCATTCGGAAGCTTGTGTGCTTGCATTTCCCCCGAGCATTACTGCCCTTCAGAACGCAGAGCTCCTGGGCCACGGCAGCAGACTCCTGGGTGTGGGCTGAGCAGCCTTTCCTAATGCAGGGAGCAGTTCTCACCAACCCTGGCTTAATGTGTGTGTGGCCTTCGCAGTTATACAGCACCCCAAACTTTAAGACCCTGTGTTTGGCTTAATGCTCTGCTGTTGCTGTTGTGACGTGACACTCTTAGTAATTTTTCAAGAGATCCTGGCTGCATTTCCATTTTGCAAGGGACCCTGCAGATTCTATAGCCAGCCCTGTGTGTCACTTAGTGTCCCCAGGCATGCTTGTGATAGGATACAAACTATGTCTCATTTTTAAAGCCCTTGGCATGTACTAGGTTTGTTTGCATGCCTTGTGTCACTTGATTCTCACAATGGTAACCTGAGATGGGCAGCGTTAGTTTCTATTTACATTTATTAATTGAGAAAACTGGAGTTTGGCAGCCCTGTGGAGGTGACTCAGCTAGGAAGTGTCGGGAGCTTGTACTTGAGCTCAGGCCTACTATGGGGCTACTTCCAGCTTGGGTTCAGAATCCTTTCAAAGGCAGCTTTGCACATCAAGGATGTACTTTTTGAAAGCCAGAACACATGGCAAAATGAATAGCTGTCATTTCACCTTTTGAATAGTTTTTCATCAGTCTTGGACAATGGCCTGTCATTATATGTTCAAATACGGTTTCTATCCCTTTTCTCCTTTCTCTCAGGGCTTTTTCCAGTTGAAACACACAGTTAACCTCATGTCATCCCTTTCTTCTGTATTTTCTATCTTTTGTCCTTCTATGATTTGTTCTAAGTATCTTCTAGTTTTCAGTTCATGAATTGGCTGTTTAAATTTTTTTTTCAGTAATAAAAATTGAACCCAAGGAGTGCTGACTTGTATCTCCAGCTTTTTTTCATTTCTTACTTTTGAAACATTGTCTTACTAAATTACCCAGGCTGGCCTTGAACTTGCAATCCTCCTGCCTCAGCTTCCTGCATAGCTGGAATTACCGGTATGAGCCATGGCACCCAGCCATCTGTTGAGCTCCCTTTGGTTATTCTGGTTTTTAGTTCCAGGATGTTTATGTGGCTCTTTTTCCAATCTGCTATGCCATTTCTTACATTTCCAAGCTTGGATTTTTTAATATATAGTAAAGCATGTCTGCTTCATGGTCTGTATCTGATCCCCACATTGTCAGTTTTAACTATTGGCTCTTCCTTGTGTTTTTTGTTTGTTTTGTTTTGTTTTGTTTTGGTACCGGGGATTGAACTCGGGACCTTCCATTTGTGAGGCAGGTGGCAGAGCCACTGAACTAAATCCCCGGCCCTCTTCCTTGTGTTTTATTTCCTAGTGCCCTGACTCTATGTGGGCTATCCCAAAATCTAATGGCAGATGTCAGGAGACTTTTTCTTAAAGGGGCAAATAGGACAGAGGTGAGTCATATTATCTCTGTCACGTTTATTCAACTCTGCCATTATAACATAAAGCAGCCATTACTATACATAAATGAATGGTATAGATATGTTTCAATAAAACTTTATTTATAAAAACATGATCCTTAGCCTGAGGGGAACTATAGAAATCCACAGCTGACATCATATTTAATTGTGGAAACTGGATGCTTTTTCTCAGGAAACAAGACAAAGGCAAGGTAAGGGTGTCCACTCTAACTACTTGTTTTTAATATTATGCTGGAGGGGGGC